GTTCTTTGAGTGTCACAGCCGCCCGAAACCTCAAGTGGACAAGCACAGGACTCGTGCTGCTGGCTGCTCTTTCTTCTTCTACGGCCTGGAGGCCGGCGAGCTTGGAGAATTTCCCTGTCGCCGTGTTGCCAACCACATAGGGATACAGCGGGAGTGCTTGGACGGGAGCGACTTCAGTGTTGGGGTGCTGGGGGTATAGATATAGATATAAAAAGATATTGATGTAAAAACCCGTAGCCTGCCTTTGGGGAGGGCAGCGGCCGGGCTTGGCACAAGAGATTGCGCACCCGGATCAGATCAGGATGCTGCGGCGCTGCCTGCTGAGGCCACTTCGGCAGAGGCACGCGTGCCAGTGGGCAGAGCTGTGCTTGTACCACTCGGTGTTTCGCTGGGGTACAGGAAGGCTTGACACGGACCTATAGTTTAGCCACTGGATAGGGCCAAATGTGTTGGAGCACTGAATAGACTGCATCTTCAGCATGGGGCCAGGTCGAGCATTCGGGGGGGTCCTGGGTGAAATGGGCGAAGCGCTCGCGCCCAACAACGGCAACAGTTTGGTAGCAGAAAATGCTCTTCCAGACGGGTGAGCCTTCCAGTGTCCAAAGAGTTGCAAAAGGCATGTTGCAGCTATATTGTGGAGCTGGGCCCCTAGCAGAGTGTGAGAGGTATTGTAGGACCTCCTTCAACCTTGTTCCCCAACCAACAAACTATGGGTGAGAAACCATAACAAAGGCACCCTGCAAGGGCTCCTTTTTACCAATTTTGGGCAATCGGGTGTGATGTATATTGAAGCGCGAATTCCGTTGAGCCCACAAACGGGTTTTGCTCCCTACTGCTCGCACCCTCCCCTCCATCACTCTTCCGTTTTCGAACACCCGAACCGGCCGCACAAACCTCCTTGAGCGGCGACCGGCTGCAGCGTGACACCAATCCACCGCAGGTCACGCCACAGAGATATTTGGATCTCGCCCAGCATGCCTGCAGCATGGAGGCCGACCAGCTGCCAGCAAGCTATCCAGGCCGCCGCAGGGGGAGTTCGGTGGCCTAGCCTTACCCCTATACCGCAGAATGATGGACAGATCTGGAGCTGGCTGCCACGTCCAACGTCACGTGGATGGACTTGATGCGGACTTGCTTGGGGGGGGTTGCTATAGCTACCCAGCAAGTGTGGATCACCAATACTTTCTGGGGGAGATGGGTTTCCCCCCCCCAAAAAAAAGAAACAACCAGGTGATGAAAACCGTTATGTAATGTTCCAGGCAAACTGAGGGATTCAGCTATAGACTTCAACAGGTTTTAGCATGTTTTGGCTCCAACAGGGACGAAAATAGACATCAACTTGATTGGAATGCAATGATATTGCATGTTTCGTTCTTTGGGGTGTAGGGTGGACAAACCATTGCAACCAGAGGGTCACATCCAAACAGTTTTCTAGCATACTCGGTGCGAAACGCTTGTCACAGCCCACTGAACTGATAATTCGGTTGGAGTATGTAGAAGGCGTCAGAAGCACAGCGCATGACAGCACCGTCTCACTTAGACTTGTATCGCGTGCCACGTAGTTTCAGTAGCACTGCAGTGGAAAGATGTTTCGCATGGTAAAATCCGGTGCATATGGATCAGCTAATTATGCAGCTTGTGGAATTGTCATTCTCGGTGTGGTTACGGGGCAGGTCCCCGCGAACAAGCAGCACCCTTTTGGTTGGTTTTGCTTGCTATACAGTGATTTCAGAGTAGTACTGTAGATGGCACTGGCACCCCAAGATGTCCTCTACATAGGGGGGGTCCGTGTAAACTACCGACGTGTGACCCCACTGCAAGTGATTTTTCAACTGGCCGTGGGCCCCATCATGCCCCACGGGAGGTTTAAGTCGCGAGCGCGCTGCATGGCTTTGCCTAAGCCTCAGCGTGCTTTGCGGAGCAAGCCCGAGAAGATTACAGTGGCTTCAGAGGTTCGATGGCACAGGTTGCCCCAAGTTTGGTGGTTTATACGGACCCCTATATAAAAGACATCTTGGGGTGGACAGTGCCATCTACTTTGATGACTGTAACCTGTAGTATGATGTTTCGATAGGGCACGAAAAGGATTGGCATGGTACAAGACATGTGGCGCCATGCATCTTGAAAAGGCATGTGAGTTTCTCGCATCCTGAGCCGTGACATCCATGGTTGCCTGAGCCGGTCTCCATGGGCCGCGCCGACCAGCTGAGGCTGTGATTTGTGCTATACCTTCACACTGCTCACGGTGGGGTTTGGTCTCCAGGACCGAGGGAGAGGAAGGATGAAACATGATACCCCAGACACGACCCATGGGACTGCCATATATGCCGCCCCATGGACCCCCCAAAACCACCCCAATGTAGGCATATATATGGCATACATGGAGTGTCTGGGTACCTAAGCGACTCCACATATCCCTAAACCTCCAGCCCAGCCCCACCTTCTCAGAAGGTATTTGGAGCCCTAGGGCATATAAAAAATAAAGGACTCCACATCGAACCCTTTTTTTCAACCACCTCAATCTAGATATAGATCTGCCATAGAATGTAAGACATGGAGTGTTTGAGAAATGATACGGCGGTACTTCCGAACCATCGATGTAGAGGTTGTCGCTGGGCTACCATCCTTCACTTGTTTTGAAGGTTTTTGAAGGTGGATCAAGGCCCAAACGGAGCGTTTATACCTTCAAGTCGGCCCTTTGACAAGATGGTTTTGTGCATCCTTTCTAGTGCCTCATGGGACCCTTACCAGGCAGCCCTACTGATTTGCTCCGCAGGCGAATACCGCCATGCTCGCCGTCAAGGTTGGGGCATACACAAAGGGGCGCCTATTGGAGGATAGGGCTGACCAGAACATCCACTCGGGACTAAAAACCACCCCGACATGTGACTCCTGGTAGTTATTTATAGAGTCATACTAAAGGAGAGCTGACTTCGTAAGACCTATTAGGGAAATTGAGATTCCATTATATATAACCGCTCTGGTTGGAGACTGGAGACGGGGGGGGTTGCAATTTCCTATCCATATCAGTCCATATCCATGTTTTCCCATCCAGCACCGACCTGTAACTCCGAGGGCCCACTACATGACTCAGCACATCACCCACTGCATCACCCACCAGCCATTCCTCCGCCAAGTCCCTGCCGAGCAGCTGGGGCAATAGCAGTGCCAGTTGGAGTCTGGGCTTGGCGCTTCAACTGGCCGACTTGGTCAGGCGGTCGCCGTTCAGCTCGGTCGGCGCGTTCCGGTCGGCGCGTTGATTGTTTTCCCCTTCTCGCCGCGCCAAGAATCAACGCGGATCTCGGTGGCCCGGTAGCAGGGCTACACCAGGGGGCTCAAGAACTCTTAGTGAATATTTTTTATAGATGTTGCAATCCCTTTCTTGGTGGTTTGCATGCGTCGTGAACCTTGAACATGATGGGGTTCGGGCGAGTTCCGGCGGCTGGCCCTTGCTGTGATCCCTTTTTACAAGGATATCTCTGGGAAGGAACCGGAAAGCAGGAAGTTCTTCCTTTTCACGGAAAGGACTATGCTGACCATACAGTCTCAGTGATACATGGAAATCCGATGCTTGGAGAAGCTAGGTCATTTGGCTGGTTTCAGACCATGCGCCACCTAGCCCAACATACCCCCCCACCTGAGTGATAAGTCACTGCCGAGCTGAGAAAGACGCAAAGAACCCACCAGTGGAGAATCGAGTACTAGCTAGCACGCCTGGGCGGTTCAGCGGTCATACATGCCCGTTGAGTGTTCACCCACAGCACTGAGGGTTCGTTCATGTTCGTTCACTTGGACTGTGTCACGGTTCAGGTTTGCTTGGGACATGGAAGGGATTTGGTTTGACACTTTACTTTGACCGTTCTTGTCCCCTTCTCCGAGCCCTTCTTGACCAAGACCACCCTGCAGAATAACACGAGTGAGTAGCCCCATGTCCGCTGGAGGCGGCCCGGATTCTCTTTTGGAATGAAAGCACATAGACAACCTATTGAAAGTACTATAGTTACTATATATATATATGAATCTATGGCCTATGTCCAATGTCATTTGATGCACTCGTTGGAAGACCGAGTAGCACGCCGTGCCGGTCCAAACAGCCCAAGCACACGGGCGATGGCCAGGCTGTGACGCTGAAGAGCGATGCGGAAGAAAAGAGACGGGGCGACTTGATCAGAGAAAGACCTGAAGAAGGATCCAACCTATCATCTACAGTAAGTCTATTATCAATATGAATCACAGGTAAAACTTTATTTTGCATGTTTAGCATATATAGACAAAATTTATATGGATATATTTCAGATTCACATAGATTCTGTAGATCTTTCTGGGGGGCGCGTCATATAGTAGTCCAAGTCGTTGCGGCAAAACCACATCTAACTGCGGTTGTGCGGCCCAAAGCTGTGACGCTGACGGTTTTGGGCACTGGGAAGAAGGGGATGGGGAGTCCAAGTGGATCTAGCTGGAGATGTTGACTTGTTGAAGTATTTGTGAAGTAAATGTGTGGGCCCACAGCCATGTTGCGGTAGGGGCTGGCACGCCCATTGCAAACTATTTTAGGCTATGGATTGATGTGTTGCTCAAGAGGGTAGCAGGTAGCAGTAACTATACTGTAGAGCACTGGAGTGTTGCAGAGGGCATCAGGTGGTGTAGGATGTTGAGCCTTCTAGCATGCTTTCCATGAGGTAAGTCCTAATAAGCCAAAAGGCAGTCAGAACTCTGTTTTTTTTCACAAATAGGTTGGCTTGTCAAGGGCCAAAGCCAATGTGAGATGCTGCACTGTTCGATCTTTCTTCCCCCAGTACACAGGCAAGTGGCGAGAGGGCAGTTTATCCATGACCGGTGTAGTTGAAAGCAACATGAAAACAGTTTGACACTTTTTTGTTCAACATTATTTTGACTTTGGTTGATTTACTCCGTGGCTTCCGCGCGAGTAGGATTTGCGAACCCCAGCGCGAGTAGCGTGTGCTTTTTCTCAGCGCCATGACGTGGCGCCATGACGCCAGGCGTTTCTGGAAGTGACTGCAAGTCGAGTGCTCGAGAAGTTGTCTTTGCACCCAGGGGATGTGCGGCGTGCGAACCCACAAGACTTGGCGCTGGTGTCTCAATGTTCACTATAGTTTCTATATACCTAGGGAGGTCAATATTTATAGTAAGTGACAACAACGTCCTCAAGTCAATTGCTCTAGACCTCGTCAACGTGAGCGATGCTGATGGCCGTAATACCGTACTGCACGACTCGGGCACGACCCATCCAATTCCTCGGACCTGTCCGCCTCCCAAGCTGTGAATCTCGCCCGTCTACGCGGCACGTGTTTGGGAGCAACGAAGTCAGAATAGCTCAGAAGTCCGGTGCATTCGCTCAGAAGTCCCGTCTATTGGAATCCGACTTTCTCAACATCTCATTGGAATCCTCATGAAACCTCTTGACCCGTCTCTTGACCCATGTATGGGTCCAAACTGCCAGAACTGTTCCGTGAAGGATTTGGTTCAGGTGCAGAGGGAGAGGTGGCTGGTGAAGGGTTTTGGAGTCATAATATAATGATCCTGCCACTCACCAAGCACCAGTTTCCCCCGAAAGGGAAGAAGGGAGCTTCAATGAACTCTAGGAATAGTTGCAGGAACGCAAGCAGTTGACCCTCACGCGAGGGTTTCTAAGTCCAAATTTGCTAGCTCACCCAATATACTATGAATGGGAGACATCCTGTACCATTGGGATCCACCACATCCCCAAGACATGAGAGGATGTGATGTGATGACTATGACTATGAGACTTATCCATCAAACACATTTTCCTTTGTTTCTCCAACCAGGACGCATCTCTCTTCCGCAACCAACCGCGGGACGACCTCCGGAGCGGGCCGCGTGGCCATGTCCCCCGAGGTCGGAGTTTGGATCCCAAGACTTGTCGATCACGGCCTGGTCCTTCACCAAGCCGGGCGCCAGATCCGTGTCGCGCGGGGTGGCCGATCCACGTGGGGGTGGTGTTGCAGGCAAGCAGCCCTGATGAGAGCGAGCCAAGCAGTTGCTTTGGACTTCCTGTGAACAAGGAAGGGATTTCGGTGACCTGCTTGCCATGATGTCCATCCAAAATCCCAGTCAGGTGCCCCCACATTCCAGCTGGGCGTTCACATGTGGACGGCCACTCACCACAGCTGTTGGGTTTTCAACAGCTTTTCACCACAACCGTTGGGCAGGGCGGCGTGTGCCCAGTTTCAGCGACCGGAACTTCCATCTACATACAGCAGAGGTTTTCCAAAGGGCCTAGGTCTTAGAGGTTTAGGGATGGTTAGGGAGTTGGTGCTGTGGAACCCAAGTGGGGGGGGTCCTAATTCACCCCAATCAAACCGTCACACCGACTGGTGGAGGCTCAGCTTTGGCTCCTTGCAGCTCTATGAGGCGCTGGCGACCGCCTCGGTGGCCACTTGGCGCAACCAGCCCACCCCCAATTGGAGTGAACCGCCCCGGTTCGGCTCATCCGATGCTCTTCCATTTGGGGGCTGGGGTGAGAAGGGATCAGAAGAGGGATGTGGTTTCGAAGTGGACTGGAGTGGGATGTGTCTTTTGATTTTAGTTTGCGTTCATCCAAGATATGTGGAGATAGAGCATTGCCTGTGGATGCCTGTGGCCTTTTCCTGGCAAGCTTGCCAGAAGTGTGACAGTTTCCCTGAAATGGCGAATATCATGGAAAGCAGATTGAAAATAGAGAATTCATCCTGAAGTGTTGAACGTGTTTTTGGCCCAAAGGTGGATACCCGGAAATGCGCACAAGTTTCAATAGCGGCGAACCACTCGAACATGGGTTGGATATGGGTTATGAAGTTATGAGGTTCCATGCTTGTTGGTTTGAGTGATTATAGTATATAATAGTTCTTTTTTTCATTGATCACTTTTTGAAGTGAGTGATGTTTTTCATGTAGCGCGGCCACGGAAGCTTCAGGGGGAACTGATTGGCCACGTTGGCCTGAAGAACTCGCGTTGATCGGATCGACCTTCCCCACATGGGCTCACCGGCTTCCACGGGGAGACAATCATGCCATTCCCAAACACTCCATGTATGGTATATTTGCCATTATTTACCTACATTGGGGTGGTGCAAGAGGGGTCAATGGGTCGGCATATATGACAGACATGGGTCGTGTCGGGTGAAACACCCTACATCCATATGCCCACCAGACTTGACCGGGTCCATCTCCCTGGATTTCTCTGTCCGAAATGGCGTCGTTTGCCCATTCACCGCGGTGGCGCTGTCAGGCGAAGATCTCAGAGTTTGGAGCGCAGAGCCTTGGAAATACAGGCGAGGGGTTGGAGAGGCACGGGAGGGAGACGTGGGGTGCGGGAGGCTGAGCAATGAAGGCGACCAAGAGGATTCCTTTGGAAAGAGCATTCCGGCTAAGAACTATATAGAGAGGAATTAAAGGGATTGTTTTTTTTCCAGGTTAATTCGTCAAGGTTCATGAGTTTCAATAAGTTTCAACCTAACACCTTAACATACCAACATGTTCACCAAAAATGCCTGGAATGTTTCACTCGATTCTCCCGCTCTGTTGAGAGAACCTCCGGCTCCGGTGAGTTTTAAAGCAGTCACTATGATGCATCACGAAAGGACCAGGTGGGAACTCCCACGGGGAAAAATAAGACAACTTGAGAAGACCCAGGAATGGCAGGGATGTTTATGGTGTTTTTACCATGGGGTCCATGAGGATCAGCCTCCTTCATGACAGGGTAACTCATGAAATCAGTTTCTACCGAGGCTACAGTATAATGTGCTTCTTGAACATTGAGATGGGCTACGACGACGTGTCGCCGGGTGAAATCCCCAAGCATCATCGGGTGCCACTGGTGCCCTGTGCTACTGAAGCATCCTTTCATCCTCATACAGTGTTGAAAGTGTGTTCCCATGCAGGGGTGCCAACTTAGACGCATCAGCAGATGACCACTACCTGCCATCAACGACTTGCACTCCCCGAAAACGAGTTCATGGTTGTATGTGGAAGACCCATGAGGGCGCTTGCGTTCTCCTCGGATGACATATTGCGTTCTCCTACCAACCAGGTGAGGTGGAACACACCTCTCCCCGTGGAAAGCCCGGAACCATCGATCCATCGGGTTGACAGGATGGGCCTTCGCCAAGCGCGGGGGCCACCCAGAGGTCTGCGTGGAGCGACCGGGTCACCCTTGTGACTCACTCACACGGAAGTGGAAGACCGCCTGGTTATACCATGTTATACCGTTTACCTGGTTGGTATTCTCAAAATGGCCATACCAGTGGCAATACCTTTTCGTTGGAGTGTAACCAGGTTTGGGCGGTGGCATGCCGTTGGCACGTTGACGGGTGCCACTCTGCGGATCCTCCCGTTGTTGCTGGATGTCTCCCGAAGTGGCGATGTGACATGCAGATGGTGTGGATCTGCCACGGCGGGCAGAACCTCCAAATCCAGAACAGGCCCGGGAATGCGAATGTGGGAATGTGAAAGGTTTGCAGCGAACTGGTGAACTGAAAGCATCCAGCTGTAGATGGCGCCGGTTCCAGAATGCATGTAGATGGCGCCGGTTCCAGAATGCATGTATTTGTGGTCAGAGCATGGCCTGAGCTTTCATGCTGGGCTTTGGCCATCTACTTTGCACATGAGGTGCCCTGTTCAACCAAGTGGTGGGAGTCCGTCCCCTCGTCATGTTCCGTCGCGCTCCTCGAAAAGTGCACCATCCCAACATTGAAACCACTGATGGTTCTGAAGCTTCAAGTCTATGAAACACCCGTGAAGGAAATAAACCCAAAAGAACATCCCCAACAGCTGGGCATGAATTCACCATTGGGCAATGGCAGCCGGGCATGTTCACCAACAAGTGCTATGTGTTTGATTGTGTTTGCCAGACAACGCTGCTGTGAAACATGTGAATGTGCCATGCAAGCATAGCAACATGGCAATACGTCGGCAAGCATGACAAACAACGCAGCAAGCAAGAGCCGGAACCCGCTCCAGGAAGCCGGAAACAAGCACGTCGGCACGACCACCCAAAGGAATCAGCGTGACAAGGAGGCGTCGGCAGCATGACCCAAGTCAGCGCCCAAGCATGACAACATGACAGACGGCATGCCAGTGTGACACCATGCCAACATATCAGCGAGACAGCATGTTGACATAAACGCCTGCATCACAGCATGAATTATATAGACAACACACTAACATGACACACGTCAGCATAGACAACACCTCCGCATTTTTGCAAGCTAGCATGACAGAGCGACAACATGTGAGAATTTCGACATGACAGCGTGCACCATACAAGCATGCCAGCATGAGAAATCACAATGTCCTTGAGGAACTGTTTGCGTCGCTCACAGCTGGTACCCAACAGCGGTGTGATCCAGTTCAGCCTGCATCATCAGAGATTGGATGTGCAAGCGTCCGTCAGATTGGATTGGATAATATTGGAGAACCGTCGTTTTTCGGGGAAATGTTCTTATCAATATTATCTATATGTTTGTGTTTTTCGTCGTAGTGAGGCAACTTCTTCAGTCCAATTTTACTATGGCCACCCCATTGAGATGTTTCGAGGGTTGATGTTCATGAAATAACTATTTATATACGAATATTTACGATACATATGAATTATATAACTACTTGCAAATCCCATTCAATGTTGATTAATTAACTACTTGAGCACGGAGCTGACATACTTGTACCGTGACATACATACCCCGATCAGCCTTGACGGCCTTGGGTGAAGGCCCCAAAGCTTCGCTGAAGTTCGTTGCAACTGTTTTTCCGTCGAGATGGAGCTTCATCGCTATGGAGCTGAGCGGCTGATCACTTCCAAAGCGCATGTTTTGTTTGGTCTCTGATGTGTGCCTCAAATCATTCCGAAGCACCGCATCACCCGTTCTTACCACTTCGTTCACCGATGTCCTCCCTGGATTGGTGTGGTTTTGTGTTGGAAAGATGGATTGGATGGCCAATTCAACTTCAGGTGCCATGAGGTATTATACCGCTGTGCTTGATTACATGCATAGCCGCATAGCCTACCGGCGCTGGTTTGAGCAAAAGCATGTACAGTAAAGTGTGAGCCCGTGTCACCGCCTTTTTTGAACATTGACTTGGTGTCACGTCACATTGCTTGAGCATCGTCACAACAAGCACACTTAAGACATTGAAAGGCTGTTGAAAATATTGAACATCTTCTTCCGCAAGGTTGATTCACTAAAAAGCGGCTGGTGTCAGCCAGATTCTGCCAGCTAGATCAGTCACTGGCCACGCCCTTTCTTGGGGTCAAAGTGGCTTCAATGGTGTACGATGCCCATGGACCGGCATGGGTTGGGCCACGGGCATCGTGGCGAACGCCAAGCAGCAAGTGTTCATATGTTTGTTCCGCATTCATGGCCAATCACAGGTGTCCAAGTACGGCCATCACAGCTGTACGAAATCATATATTACTGTATATATATATATAGGGGTGTGTGATTTGCTAATTAAGATCCAACATTATTTGTTGCGCTCCCGATGGGATACCATATCCTTGACCCCTACTGGCCCAACAATATCCAGGTTCCGGTCTTCCCAACCAACTGCTGGGCCGGGCGGATGGGGGCGTCCACGGCTGGAGATCCACCGAGGCCAGCTGATGGATCGGCAGTTGATGGATGCCATTGGACACGCCGCACGCGGGAGGACCAGGTTGGCGGTTCTGCGAGCCGCGTTGCATCCACGCTGTTTTGGTCAAGGTTTTAAAGGTAAACCCTCAGCTGAGCATTTTACCATATTTTTCATTTACGGTGTCCCAAGAATTCACGGAGAGAGCCACACGATGCTAAGACGGACCGATGCGACAGATGGACGTGGCTTCATTAATAAGGTTAGCCACTCATGAGCATCAAATATATTCTGGAAGATCAACATGGAACCTGAAAACGACTGGTTTGTAGAGGAGGGTAGTCTTCCAAAGGTCCATTTTCAGCATCAAATAAGTCTTTGATGTTAGTGCCAAGTCGCGGATGTCCAAGTTTTTTTGGCGCTCAAGTGGGGTTGTTCATGGCTGTTCCATTGCACCATTTTTGTTCTATGCCGGACTCATAAGGGGGGTGGCCATTAGCAGGACTCATATGTTTCGAGAAACGTATCGAAACGTTACATCACCCTGTTTGGGTGTTTCCTAGACCCTGAAACCCTCAAAAGATACAGTGAACACTGCATCAAAATTACTCCAAACAACGATTGTGCAGTGGACATGGATTGCATTCAAGATAAGCACCTTCAGCGGAGGGCGGAGTTTCCAGTAAGCGGAGTGGCGAGCGCCCATGAGCACCCAAGAACTATAGATTAGTTTCTTTTTTGGCGATGGCCTCAAGAAGATACACAGATACACCCATTTCCAAGGTGGTCACATGACCTTCTCTATCTCCATATCAGAAGATTTACCATATTTCTTGATCTTTCTGATTAGGTTAGCTATGTGGTTCTTCACCCCTGCGATCTTGAGCGTTTCAGTGGACGGTGGAACCAAGGTGCACACATCATGGAGTTGAAGCCGCAGCAGCTGTCCAACCTCGCTTGAGGACCGGATGGGCGGATGAATCCCAGTATGGATCCCCTCGGGACGAGTCGTGTTTTCCTCGGGCAATGAAGGTTTTTTGTGACATGGCGGGACCAAACCCAGTTGTTGACAAGCGAAAATGGTCACACGAGACTACGAGGGAGGTGAGCCTACCAGGGTGAAACTAGATAACTAGCTCCGGGTGCCATGACCCACACAGCCAAGTGCGAACTCGGAGAAGGTGCCGGGAAGCGTGCGCGACGTTCCACTGGTTCGAGAGGCTGTTGGGAGGTTTATGCTTGAGCCTTCCAGATATCCTTTGCGCAAACTATCAGGACTTGCCTTTAACATGAGATTCATCCTACATCCATGTCCTGACCTACCTTTTTTTGCATGTGTTTTAATACATTGGCGTTAAATGTGCGAGGGGCGGCACATATATATATATATATATTTGTATGCATAGATTGGAATTGGAGATAAACAAGTTTAACTACAGTGGTTTCAGAATAGATGGCACAACCCCCAAAACGTTTTTTTTATTTTTAAGATGGGGGCCCATATAAACCACCTCTCGGGGGCTGTGCCATCTATTCTGAAACCACTGTAATAGAAACAACTAGTTGGTTTTCGAAAAAATTGATTGGTTTTTTGGACCTGGATTCAAGATTCAAGATGCCCAGAAAAGTTGCTGAGCAAAACTTGAATCTTGAGTCCAAATTTGTTGCTCTATATCTTATTCTCATAGACTGCGAAAACCCAAAACCGCAAACCAAAAAAAACACAACTCTGAGGAGAAACCTTGGTTTCAGCCTGAACAAGTTTTGCTGGCTTTGTTTGTTTGCTTGCAGGGTTTATTCATCAAACAATCAACAAACACTATGTCACTATGTTCTTTGGGGGGGGGTGCTTTGGTCTATGCAGCCTAGAATTTCAATAAAATACACAATTGTTTTTTTCCGATAAAACGTAAGCATAAACATTAACTAAAAAACTTGTTTTTTTTGGTTCTTGGGCATTCGTGAATGCATATAGACAAACAAATAGACGAGAGGGAGAGAGAGAGAGAGACACATATGGGCTCACGATTCAAGATTGCTGGACACAAACTTGTTCTAGGAATCTTCAATCTGAATCCAGGTTCAAAACATGTTGAGACATTTTTTTCGAGAAATCAATAGTTAACACCTATCAACTTCTGATTCAATTTGTGTTATTCTTGATTATTAGATATGTTTGTGTTCATCAACTGGTTCTGAATATTTGTGTAATTAATATTGTGTGTTTTACTGGGTTTTTTGCATGCCAGTATCTTGGCTCTTCTCTTGACCTGTTCATCCTTAAAATTGTCTGGTAGATCCAATTATATCTTTGTGGAATTGCATTGCACCATTCGCACAAAATGAATTATCTGCATACAAGAAAGTAAAGTTAGTCAACATATCATAATCGACCACGTTTATCTACAGTATATATATATATTCCATGTATCAGTCTGACAAAATTTCAATTGTTTTATAGATGTTGACGAATGGGTGCAAATGCTCTGGCAAATATTAATTTCAGTGATTGCCTTGGGGATCTTCTCAGGTGGATATATCATAACTTCCATTCAACAGGTGATTTCAAATTTTGACATCAATGTTTGAACTGAATAGTATAACTGAAAAGGGGTATTGTTTCCCTGTTGAAGCTATACATTGGTAGGTTCATGTTATAAGTGTCTTCATCCCCAGCTGTAATGCAACCCTCAACTGAAGTTCTGTTTTACTAGCTTTTTGTGTTTTGATTGTATGTTAGACTTTGTTCAACTTTTGTTTTAGTTCAGTCGCAATTTCTGCTCGGTATTAATACATACTTCATAAAGACTTTGTGACAGATCAATGATCAACATACGGTCAGGCCATTGCTCCTTGCCACAAAAACATATCTTGACCTAACAATCCTTAGGTATTTCAATGTGAATAATGTCATTTATGTAATCAATGCGATGGCTTCTTTTGGGTGGGTCACATTCGTAAGTTAAGGATTGACATGTTAAACGCTATATATATAATACCTATAGTCAATTTCCTTGGTGGACACCCCCTTTCATTCAACTCATCTTTGCCCATAATCTCACTCATGTTTACTATTACAAGCATTTTCTAGTTGTCCCACTCATATAAGAGCAGTGTCATAAAATCCGTTCATTTCCATTGATGCATTCCTCCAGCATACATTATCTATGTAATGACCTGTTTCAATGCCTTTTGAACTGTGTCAGTATCGGTTTTGGTGTGTTTGTGTAATAGTGCTAGATATTTATACATTAGCTGCATCTGTCAAATTGTCATTCAATACATTCATTCCTTTACCTGTTTCTTTTTTTTGCTCTACTGACTCTGATTTTGATACAGCCTTGGTTGCTGATTTTGTCATCACTAAGAGGATTTTTAATTGTGTCAGATAGATCTTTGGTATGTCTTCTGCATTGTCCCTTTGAACGTTCTCTTGCGTAGAAGATCCTTTGGAAAATCTGTCACATTTATATGTTGAAGTCTGACAGTGAAATAATAAACTCCTCGATGTGTAAAGGTTGGTTTTTGTTGGATACCAAGCTCTTTGAAGTCTCCCTCAACATAATAATCTTAAAGGACAAAATCGACAAAATATGTTTGCTTCCGCATCAACCAACCTTGCTTTTTGTTCCTGCCATTTGGTTTCCACAAAGATATACTACAGCACCTGAAAATATTGTCTCAGCCCCCCTGCATGTTCTTTGCTGCTTGTAGATCTATCTATGATATTGGCTTAGACATGAATGGTAGGTCTTTCGGGGGGTAGCATATACATATCTACATATAGATATGCACCTGGCTTTGTACGGGCGGCAGTAGCAATGCCAGCAGTTACATTGTGATGATTCAACTTCAGATGCCGATGTAGGTGTATACTGGATTACTGGATTAATGTGTATATGCCATCCGCGTGGTTCCTTTAGGAAAGGAATTGGCACACACACACACACACACACACGCACGCACAATACACAAAGCAATAACCCTACCAGTCAAATACCTGTAGGAGACCACCTAGCTGTGCCTTGCACGAGGTTTTGTAATAATGCTAAATGTGGGAGAGGGGGTCCACGCCGCTGTGAGCCAATTGGAGACTGACCCCTTCAGCCACCCAACAAACGTGAAACTGCCAACGACCTGCACCAGTAAAGAGAGATCCCATCCATTCCCAATACAGCGCGGCCAGTGCCTGGGTTGCCACACTTTGTTTGTGCAAGAAACCAGCGCAGATGCAGGGTCAGAGGCCCCCGCTTCGTCTACAGCCAGTCAGCCAGTGGTTGTGCTGCGTGCGGTTCGCGAGGCTAAGCGTGGTTTCTTCGCGTCAGGCTTTGCCACCCTGAACATCAAGGAGGAGACCCTGCTGGATGCCCTCGCCTGCGAAGCCCTCCGGAAGGCCAGCGAAAGGTCCGCCGTGCTGGTCGCAACCCCAATTCAGAACTTCCGGTGGCTGAAACGACCAGGATTCAATAGGATTCAGCTGGTCAGTAAGAAAGGGTAGTGCAAAAGCCCTGTCGCCATGTGTTTTTCTGATCCAAATATGGTCCAACCCCTCCAAACGAGCACAGAGAGGTGTGAAAGAGAACCAGTGGACTCAGTGGACTGGAGAATTGTAGCATTTCCCTTCGACCGGAAGAACTCCGTCAGTGGGCCACTGGCGTTCACTTCTACAAAGGGATTTTACACTCCCGAAAACTAACATAGACCCTGACAATGGCCCCCCTGGAAGAGTGTTTTCCTCTACCAACCAGTGGTTTTCAGGGTCCATGTTAGTCTTCCGGGGTGTACTATAGTTTGCATCCTGTTTTCATGCACTATTACTATCGCCCGACTCTCACCTTCGAATTGCACCGACTTCTGGGGGATTTCTGAAAGGGAGGGCGAATCTCAAACATGGCACTCCTGGCATGTCCTTTGCGCCGTGACGGCCACTCTTTGGTACCGCCCAATGGCTGCCTTCGTTTGGACCAGAGCCGGCAGGTCCAAGAGTTCGACCCGCAGAACATCTCCATGGTCCGGCCCAGCGTTGGACGAGACAGGGGGAGACTGGTGACGTCGGGGGGCCGGTGGGTGCTTACCAGCCGCAGATGATATGTGGCTTCTATAGCAAGTCGAACCAATTGGGAGGAATCAGGATGATGTATAATTTTGTGATATTTATGTATGAGGATGGTGATGGTGGATGATGGTGGCCTGGCTTTGTGTCTTGGGGGAAGGCATGTTCAGGGGCCTGCCTGCCAAGTTGCTGGCTGCCTTTTGCAGTTAAGGGAGCAATCTTCAACTTGCCAGGCCTGCAGATGGTGCTTCAGACAGCGTGTAGGCTGAAACGCTGATGGATGTGTCACCTTGACGGCTTCGACAGAGAAAGGACGTCGCAATGTTTACATGTGCCGCTCATGATGCATGGAATGGACCAAATTAGGATCCAGTTGGGACTTCTCCCAGACCTCGCTCCCCAGACCCACAAAGGACACGCAGCCCCTCGTGGCAGTCCCTCGCCATGTCATCCCAAGCACTCGGAGCACTCATCGACCCATGTCGCATCACGACCGGTTTCGATCAACTCTTCTTATATAGAAGTCCTTGGATCTGGGGGTTTCAGGCAGGTGCCCTATCACCATATGACTGCCCCAGCCCCAGCTGTCTCACCAGCATGCACCGAATGGTCGCGTGCCGCAGCACCGCTCCAGCCGTCCTAGACTGCTTGGGCCTATGCCACCCTGAAGAGGGCCGACCACGAGGCACTCTTCGAGGCCCTAAGGCACGATCACAGGGACGTGCTTTGAGGCGCTCGCACTGGTGGGATTTACACTCCCTGGAACTAACATGGAAGTGGAGAATGGCCCCTTGGAAGACCATTTTCCACTACAAACAGGTGGTTTTCCACTTCCATGTTATTTTTCGGGAGTGTTCTCGAACATCTCGAAAATGCCGAAATGCCCCATATATCGAGTCTTGCACCTGGAAAGGAAATGGATGTTTCCCCAATTCCAGCCAATTCCTATGTAAAGGATTTCAATTGCAATATTGGAGCATTTTGTAGCAACCATTTGTTTTTGGTGGTTTGTTGAGTGTTTTGACCTAAGGTTGAGGGCCTGGCCGCCAACAAATCACTCAAATCGACCACTTCGGTTGGGCTAAACAAAATGCAGGTACAAATCTACATCACTTGGAGCCTTTTCACCACAAAAAAGCAGAAAGTTCGATTCCATTTTTCACGACTGCCATGGGGCCCGTCTGTCCGAACTCGACCTCTTCACACCCGTTGAGGAGGTCCTAACCATACGCGGCCAACGATCGCCGAGCGTCCGAAAAGGGGGGCGAAGGGACCACGCCGAGCGTTCCGCTGGACGGTTTCTGCGCCCACCCGGTGCCCGGTGGAGCTCGGTTTCGACCCGAGCTCCGCCGGGCGCCGAAAACCTCTTTGGGATCCTCTTGGGGCGGTTCGGTCGAGTGGATGTGGGCATCCCGACCTCCGTGAACGAACGGTTCCCCAACATGGCTGGCATAGGATCTTTTGTTGATCGAAACTTGATGAAACTTGTGTGTGTGGAAACCTTGGCAAGTCATGCTCTTCTCCCAGTTGGTTTCAGTTGAAGAGTTTGAGCATGTTTGAGCTATATATATGGGAGCCGATCGTAAATGCAAATCTAAGAATTATGAAAGGGCATGTGTATCTCAGCATTTGCGATTGTAAAGCCCTGCATCGCGGTTGATCGGCGATTGGTTCGCGATTGAGACAAACATTTGTTGTATCAGAATCGACCATTGTAAGAGGAGAAATCAATATTATATGGCATGATAATCATGTTACAGTTCAGCCTTACACTGTATTCGGGTCTGCCTAGACATTGTGTTCAATAGTGAGAGCCAATAGCAAAGAAGAATCAGAACAACAAAGTTCAAAGTCTACCCGCCCAGATCAATTCAATTCTCAAAAAATGTCGACGAAATCCGCGATTGTGCCGCGATTGTTAAACCCGCCTGAGTAGGCCCTGGCTCACGCCATGTCTCTAAATACTGTGATATGTAGCAATGTTTCGACGATTCTCTGCGCAAAATAGTGTCGCATACGAGAGCACTCGCCCGCGATTGACACCGTTGGGATCGCGATTGATTCGCGGTTGATCGGCGATTGTAGCTGCCTCAGATACCTTTATTTTGATCAACACCCATATGTCGTGATTGTGGGAACAATCTCCGCGTTGAGTTCAAAACCACCGTTCAATGGTCAAGACCTTTTCTTTTTCTCCGCTCGGTCCCTACATGTAGGTGTTTCACAACAGCTTTTGGCAGCCTCCGGCGTGAAACAGTCAGCCGCTGCCACGTCGCTACGAAGACCTGCCGCCAGGCGGGTGTCCATCCCCACGATCCACAGGTCCGGTCGAGAGTCGACCCCGGTCGACCCCGGTGTCGTTGGTGCCGCGTTCGGACGTTGGAGCTGGCATATAGCATGCGTGTACCGTGTTGGGGGACGAAGTCGAGTGATATGGATATACTCGATGGAGTCGGCGATTCGTGCAGTACGGCAGCCTTTGGAGGGGCAAATCCACCCCACTTGCAGGGTATTGAGACCATGGGAAGCGTTTCTTTTCATGTTTCTTCGTTTGATTCCAGGGAACTCGGTACAGCAAGCTCGTGGAGGTTGGGCTTGGGATCACTGAGAAATTGCACTGTTTTTGCCCTGAGTGTCTTCATTGCACCCGTGCAACCGGGCCTACCAACATGACAGTTCGCCCTGATCTGGAGTTGCTTCACCGGTTGTTGTTTTGTGGCTTGGCCACTTGCTTCACACGCCACGGAGTCAAGGCTGTCGGGGGCGTCAACGCTGGTCGCCAGCAGGTTCAAGCCCCAAGAGTTGAACAACTTGGCCTGGGCCTTCGCCACGCCGCTTGGGCTTTTGCCAGACAGGAGTGATGGCGAGGTAGCGATTTGGAAGAGTCGGGACCGTGGGAGCGGCAAGAGATGAAAACCAACGTGAAGCAAAACATGTAGTGTAGACGTGAACCCCCTCAAGAAGATGTTCAATCCACCAGAGTCTACATTCATTGGGAAATTATAAATTTCAGATAGGAGTGGTTTTAGATTGAAAGGGTTTTGGTAACACTAGCGCCCAAATGCGCCACATATTTCAATTGTTTTCATATGCTATCCTTTGAATGTTTTTAACTGTATTGAAAATGGATAAACATCAATACAAAGCAAACATAATCATATCAAGACAATTAAACACGTTATGACATGTTAATATAAACTGGTAATCATACATGCAGTATTTCACATGTGACTACAGCTCACATCATACCATTCGTCGGCACTGCACCACGAGCCTTTTTTGCCGCATGATTCGCCGACATGGTTGTATGTGCTTGTGATGTTTACATTTTGTGGTTGTTTTGGAGTTCTTCTTTAGATTTGTTGAGATCTTTTATTTGAAACCTTTCCGATCTACTATCTCGAGATGTTTTGATATGTTTCAAGAACTGTTGATACTTTTGAGTTGTCAAAAAGTATACTATATTATGTACTTGAAAACCCTTCCAAACAAATTTCTTCCGAGATATGTTGAGATTGTTTGAGAGTTGATATGTTGTAGTTGTTTCTAATTGTTTGTGTTTGCTTCAGTTGGCATATTATTTATCGTAGTTGGAGGATTTCATGACACATTTTAACTTTCTGCCATTTTCTGCCACCACGTTGAGCCACTTGCCATGAAGTACGTATATTTTTTTTTGTTGCTGTTATTTGATTTTACTTGTATCTTGTTGTTTTTTTGAGGTTTCAGCTCTGAATTGATCTCAAAACTCAAAACATGAAAAATACATCAAATCCCTTCCACTCTGAAACCCTTCCGAACTGATATATATCTCAAAATCTTGGTGATACATTAAGGCTCAGCCCAGCCAGTGGACAACCTGCAAAACCTTTGTTTGGTGGATTCATGGAATAAAAGGTTAGCCGTTATTTTCAGGGAAACTGAGGTGGTCAGGAACAGCGTCCGAGCCAAACCTGGAAAGAGCGTGCGAATGAGAAGGCAATGTACCAAAACGCGTTTTGATTGCCAAGAATGAACGGATGGCTTGGTTGCATGCAGGTGGAACATGTATGGCCCATGATTTGGTGGCTAAGATGTGCATTTGTTTTTGAACAGGCCCCCCAACTCATGACTCCAATGTTGATTGCTTTAGTGGAATCAATCCACTGGGTGATCCGTTTGATCTTATAATATATTTGTCGATTCTCGCCCAAGAATCCTCACGCATCCTCGGGGAGGTGATGGGTGGGGTGTTAAGCCAAGAAGTAAGACCAATTCATGTGGACTGTTGATTAATAAAATGAATAGAACCCTCCATATGGAGAAGTTGTTTGTACCATGTGATGCCATCCAGGTAGGGATGCTTTAAATCATCAACTATCCACATACCTTGTCTTCCAGATCATATGGGTGCCAACTGAATAAGGCCAGTGAATAGCACACTTTGAAGTCGATGCATCCTGCGACCATGAGGAACATTGTTTCGGGGGGATCAAATTGTACGCGTCATAGGTCTGTCATAGGTGTCTCAATCAGATCAGGGTCTTACGTCATACACCCACAGGTTTAACCCCTGAACTCGTGGGCTTAGGATACGGAAGCGAATTCTACGTCTCCAGCAAAGCACCTCTTGAGCAGTGTGGTTGGCCCAAAGAGCACGGTGTAGCACGGCGGGTGTGAAGCGAGTCACATTGTCACGGTAAAGCCATATATGGCTGTACATTTGACGAAGGAGACCAGCAACCAATGGTTTTTGGGTCCATGTGGACGTCCATATTTATTTCCAGGCCGGTCTTTGGAAGGTAATTAACCCCACATATCCCTATTGTAATTGCACACATAGATACCGCCCACAGATGGAGCCCATCGGCAGGGACCGGCTCATCCTCCTTCAATGAATGCGTTTAAAAATCAATGGGAAACCCTTGTGTTCACAACTACGGGTTTCCTGTAGATGTTTCCCTCAAACCAAGTCTGGGCATCCTGCCTCTCTCAGGCTGTTGTCCCATGATGGGGAGCTGTTTGCCGCCATCTCCTGCGCGGCGTTGGCGCAGGCAAAATTGGTCGGCGCCGGGTATGGCCGGGCTCTGTGTTGGTTTTCTTCCCTTGGTTGGCTGCTGCCAGAGCCAGCATCCCCCTTTTCTAAGACCCTGCAATGAGCAATAGGGCCATGGGTCCTCCAGTTTGCAGGGAACGGCTACCAGGCTACCTAATTCATGGATATTCATGGCACAAAGCAGGCTATGGTATTGTGGTTTTATCATGTTTTATCTCCACATGATGGGCGTGGGAATCTGAAACCATGTGATCCAGCGGCGTGGACGAGGCACAAGACCCACCCCCGGAGAGACCGTCCATCCACGCGGAGGGCGAGATCGAGACCGTCCGAGCAGTTGATTCAAACTCCCAACCTTGCCGGCAAATCAATAGATCATGAACTTCAGATGCGGGTGCTTTTTGCAGAGTGGTGTTGGTTCATCGCGCGAAAAGAACTCCTGAAACACACATCCCACCCCCGCCAACGGGCCGCGCCGGGTTCAGGAGAACCCCATAAAGCGGCTTCCAAAAACGTGTCCCCGCCGGTGATGGCCTTATTCCTTCGCCTGTCCAGATCGATGACTTCAACCCACAAGATTTGGCCATCACCGCCTTGTCCTTCGCACGCGAGATGCCGAGAGGAGGTCTGGGAAGGTCCCCAGAGTGGTGAGAGAAATTGAGAGAGCGAAGATGCCATCAGTCCTTCTTGTGTGTCCTTTTGCTTCAACCATGGTTTTAAACGGTTTTAACAGATGCAACAAGGCAAGTGTTGCTTTTGTGTTTTTCTTCCCCCCTGACGTTTGGCCAGCCAGTGCAGATGACCAGGCACCAGGTGATTGATACAACACCGCATGTTTCTCAAGGGTGGCACTGGGGCCTGATAGCGAGTTTATGCTGTGTGTGTCCCATGGTCTCATGACCTGTAACAGTCAACAAACATATTATCACTATGTTTGAGAAAGGCCTTTACTAACCAAAAAAGATCCACTGTTACGGGAATGGGTTACACCCAAAGTATATGTTTTACATTATATGTAACTTCATTAAATTACTGTATATAATAAATCGAAATGTATGTTCCAAGTCTATCCAAGTCTTTTTTGATATTTTTTTTGCATACTAGGAACTTGCTCTGAGCCAAGAGGATAGGGCCATCTCTTTGTCTCGGTAGACGCGGGCGTCCACTTAGGGGTCGAGATCTGCGATGCGGCGCTCATGGCGGCCATCTCCAAGGCGGAGGCCGGGTTGGGGTTCAAACATTGGAAGCTCGGTTTGGAGGTGATTTTAGGCTTCATGCACTTGCGGCACTTGCAGTTCTTTTTCTTCGCGTGCAGGTGGGGATGATGCACCAGTTGCAGCCGCAAGAGCTTGGGGCACCTAGAGCCCGGCAGCCGCCCTGACCCGGTTTTTCGTGTTTGGAAGATTGAAGGCAGGGGGCAGTATTCCCCAAGGGCTCCATCTAGCTCCTGAGAAGGTGGTTGCGGTGTGTGCCAGGCGGGCCTAGACCTTCTCAGTATATGGTTGGAACCCTAGGGATGTTGATCCATCACATGGAAGTGGATCGCATGGTCTCGGAAGGAAGACTTAATTACTTTCCTTTACAAACGGGAGCTGCCATCCACTTTCATGTGATGCGTGCGTCAGAGCGTAAAACTCATTTACGATCCAATTCTCTCAGACCAAGAGAAGCCACATCAGTCGCGCAAGCGACGGGCAGTTCTTTTGGAGCCGGTTGCTGGATTCACCGGCGCGTGACCGTGCGCCCGGCGTCGGCCAGTGGCTGGCCACCCGGAACTGGCCGGACCTGGACCGTGCCTAGGTCGATTGGTTCGGATGCTCGTCATGGATCAGCCTTCTTCGCAACAACCAGGTCATATAGGCCACCAGTGGCTACACCAGAGGTCACCAGTTCAAACCGAGCCAGAGAGCGGCACCTGCAGCTGCACCTGGTTTCTGACAGAAATTCTACCCTATGGGCATGAAGTGACGTTACCAGGTATACCGTGCCGCTCCCAGCCCAGGCCAATCCTTTCTCCTGAATTCCAGCAGCCCAGGCTCGGGAATTCCCTTTGGGCTTTTGGAAAGCTGATGATCCTCGATGTGCCACTGATGCGGCTTGGAGGTGTTGTTGGAACCGACGGCGCGACACGGCGCGACACGGCGTGACACGGCGGACGGGAGGAGACCAACATGGACTCGTCACGGAGGTTTGTAAAAGAAGCCGCCGAGTCCACCAAAAACCTGGTGGATACAGTAATGACCAGGCTATCAAGCCTGTACTAGTTAGTGTACTCGTGCTCCTTTTGAGGGCTACCTGCTACCTGTCTACATGTCTTTGCAGTGGCTGGACTCTTAGGGCAGGGAAGGATGCCAATGTGGGAGGGAAACGGCCGCTGTTTCCCGTGGCTAGCCTGGGTCAACCTGGGAGCACGGAACGAACAGCCGAGATGGACCACTGCGAGGGTCGGCTGCCGAGGGAGGCGCGTGTTCGAGCGCTCGAGCCTCGTTGTTCACCTGGTGAAGATCGTGGCCCATGACCAGTCGGCCAGTCGGCAAAGATGTTCATGTTTTGAGAAAGGCCTTTTGACTAACCATCTGATGGTTAGTAGCCTTCCAGTTGAGGGCCATAAGCTCAAGAATGACATCATCATCCATTCTTACGTACTGAGAGGGGTGCCATGATGTACCCAAAGTATCCATCGTATCCGTGTTGTTCCTTCAAACCATTTGCATTCCAGGCACTTTGATGACGCTCGTGTAGTGACTCAACGTATGTACTGAATCCCAACCACGGGGAAGTTGAAGGTTTGTGTCAGCAAACAAATACACTCTGCCGGAAAATAGGCCCTGGGAAGACCTTTTGCCTTTTGCTCTACAAACAGGGGCTTTTCCACATGGACGTTTGTAAGTGGGAGTGTGTTCCGAACTCATTGGCTTTAATGCTGCGCTGAGGTACGCCGTCTCGCAAGAAGCACAGAGCACGACGCCCTGGCCGGAGCTCATTGGCCACGACTCATGACCACCAAACAGCCAACTACATCCCTTTGACACTAACGTGTGACAATCCGTCTCGTGCAGTTTGGCTTGCTTCAAGCGCTTCAAGTGAAGCTCTAGAAATACCTATTTGTAACCTTTGTACTTGTGATACCTCGTTTGGTTTTGTCTTAAAATCGTTTGGATGTTGCACGATATGGACGTCATGAGTCATGCGGGTTGGATGCGACAACACCATCCTCAAGAATTGGTTGATCAGAGACCACGACTGCTGGATTACAGCAAGAATAGAATAGGTCTTAGTTGGGGAACCAAATCAAAGAACCAGCACTGGTTGTTGTTGGGATTCTCATGGATTGCTCATTGGTTTTCTCATTTTGGGGGAACTGGGGGGCGGTGGGTACCTGGGATTCGTGGGGCAGTCTCGCCAGTGTAGCGATGTTTCCCCAAAAAACTTGCTTGTATTGTAGATGTATTCCTCATGACTCATGACACTAAACATGTGGAACTCTCGCTTTTGGAGTCGGCAAAGCTACAAATGGCTCGTCGGGCCGGGCCTGGGCGATTTGGTGCGTTGAATCTTGGAATTTTACTTATGCAGTTGTCCAAATCATTCGTCAATCGTTTCCATGGCGCTGTAGCTTGTCACACAAAATGCACGGCCTTTCGCAAGCTGGGTGACCTTTCTTGCATGCTGCGTTTCCATGCGGGTGATCTCTGGGTCTCAATCATTGCTTGCCACCTTGCCAGGTCTCAACCCGACCTTTGCATGAGTGGTCACCTCGTCATCGCACTACCCTCCTCTCGTTTCCCTCCCTGTCATCGAAGCTGCCAAGGGAAGATGTCTCACTTCAGTCCGCAGAACCTCACCAACAGTTTGTGGTCCTTCGCCAAGGCGGACGAGCGCGATCGCGGTCCCCGTCCCCGGAAGGACGGACCGTCACCAGGTTGGTTGGTCCAGAGATGGCTTTTCCAAGGCCCGGAAAACACCGGAAGATGCGGCTGTTATACGTTGTATACATGATGCTATATAATACCTTGATTTTCCAGGGAATCTGGACCAATCTAAGCTAGTTTAACAATGTTTAACCCACTTTTTGATCAACACATGCTCCTTGGCTACCAGGGTTGCAGTGGAACAGACTGACCACCTGCATATGTTGCAGGGTTCAGTGCTATGTGGTCTCGGGGCGTGGTTTGTTACATATAACCAGCTGCAAGTGCCGGTGGATGGCAGTGGGGAGTGGAAGTCAATATTTTCTTGGGGGTAACCGGGGTAACATGATCAACAACCTTGTCTTCGGTTGCCACACGTTTGGTGCAAATCAATCAATACTTACTGAGATGTTAGATTGTGCCTGAACGTCTCTCGCTGTGCAAGGTGGTTGTGCTTGACAACCCGTTGGTGGAGGCGGTCTCGACGGTGCTTTGGCGAAAGCGGATGAGAGGTTTGTGGAAGCCCATTGGACACAGAGCTGCCGGTTTGTGCATTTCAGGCAGGTTCGCCAAGTCCGAGGTGCGGGATGTTCTCAGGACAGAGCCCAAGCGCTGTATGTTCCGCAATTTGCGAGGGGACGTGAGGAGCATGACTCAATGACCAGGACTGCTGAAATACTTGCAAATACATACCATCATCACTTCCAACCCGGTGGGACGGTGTCCGTCATGGTTTGGTTGTTTCTTTTCACCGGGTTAAAGCATCGAGTCTTTGGGCGGGAGAAGAGCAGGGCAGACCGGTGTTTTCCACAGGGACCAACTACACCCCACACCCACAGTCACTGGAGTCCCCAAACGCTCCAGTTTCACCACTTGGGTGCGTTACCTCAGATAGGTTGCAGCTCCGCTTGATACACACACTGTCACACACTCATTGGAAGTGGATGTTGTAGCCCCGCAGGGATGACCATGAGTTTTCCGAATACCAGACAGGTGGTTTTTCTTGCACGAAAGCAAGGTGGCTAGCACATGCACATGGGATGGGGGAAAGCATGCCATGGCCTTCACCATGGTACGTGGAAGTTGCTCCAGGCTTCAATGACTGAGCAGACGGTTGTTCGGCCGTCTTGAGGCCTCTTTGGCCATCCTCCCGCAGTTCAATGCTCAGAATTTGCGGGGAAGCCCAGCATCCACAGCAAAGCAATGATTGAGCATGAGTTTGTACTGGACTACACGTACTACAAGAGTGGGATGCAACTGACTCGACTGGTGCAACGTGGAACGTGCTTTCAGAAGACGTGCCACCAATTCCAAAGGAATGAGCCACTGAATTGAGCTGAGCCGTGGAATTGAGAATTCTCAGAGCCAGTTGGAAGATTCTCAGAGCCTTTGATTTGTTTGAGGAATTCTTAAGGCCACATGACGCAGAGACCCGAGGTCATCGCTCCAAGAAAGGACGCTTGACTTATCTTGACTTTGCGTGTTCTTCTGTGTTGTGGTCCATGTCTTCACCAGCAGAGGCTGAAGAACCCTTGTTCGACTATCCCATAGGACCCCCAGGTTATGGGTCCCATAAGATCACTTTCTCTCTTGGCAGGTCCAATACGGTGTGGTCCTTCACCACCTTGGCCATCACCCCCATGCCATGCTGCCGTCTCAGCCGGGCAGTTGAGCTTTGACACGACGACTGCCCAAAAAGACCCCTGAAATCAACCGCACCAAGTCAGGGAATATGGCAGATGTGGAGTCTTTGGTTTTTAGACGTCTTTAGTTCTATGGAATGTCGTTCGCATTTTACGAAAGCCAGCCTTCGTAGAAGGCGCCAGCTGAGTTGTGTTTGGCGAACGAAGTGAGTAAGTAGGGGGTCTGGGGGGGTGGGCCCGAGAAAGTACCACGTAAACTCGAAATTAGGTGGGGGAGAGGGGTGTGCGGAAGTAAGGTTTTTGAGGTTGAGTGTTTGTGATTTTTGAGGGGGTGGTGATGCAAGAAATGCAGTTTGCATCATTTGCATCATCTCAATGGTAAGGTGTAGCTTTACAGAGGCCGATGTGTTGTAGCTTCGTGCAGCTGTGACTGCATAACCTTCTTACACACCTATATAAGGCCAAAGCACTAATGAGACTTCAAATCCGTGGATTGCTGCGCGTTTCTCAAGGTTATCGAGCGGTTGGCGGAAAGGGAAAATGAAGTGCTATACCTGGCAACTGAATTGTAGCTGCCCTGGGTTCGTATAAAAGCCATGAGACTTCAAAGCTGTGGATTGCTGTACGTGTGTAAAGGTTATCGAGCGGCTGACGGAAAGGGAGCTTGAAGTACTATACCTG